AAGATCCAAACGGGGAGGTCGATAAGCCCCAAAACGCCTAAAACTCGAATTTTCGAAAAAAAATGCAAAAAACGCGCGCGACGGCGGCGCTCGGTTCGCACGCGATATCCGCCGCAGGGGGCCCGCCGGGAAAAAAGTAGGGCCGCGGGCCGACTATAAATTTACCGAGGAACGCGAATAAGGTCCGAACGGGGCCGCCCGAGGCCCCCCGTGGCGGTAAAACTCGATTTTTTTCGAAATTTCTTTGATTTTTGAAAAAAACTGCAAAAAGTGATAAGAGGAGTGATAACGCAGCGACGGCTCCGCCGCCGCCGGGAGACCGCCCGCGGATAGAAATGTAATTTTCCGATTGGAGGGTTCCCTAAGTCAGTTCGGATTTCACTCTCACTAAACGTACTCTACTCGAACTATTCATATTCGAACGCACCCCATATAATATGTGGTAATAATTGTTATCAAATAAATAACAACATAATGATATTATTATTTTAACGATGTAGACTAAATTTGAAATTAAACTTAAACTAAACTTAACTAAACTAAACTTAAAATTTGAATCACTCGCGAGTCTCGATTATTTGAAATTCGATAAAAATACAGACTACAGAACTACGGTCGTAGGTACAGAGTACTATTCATAAATTTTGGTACAAAATCACCATGGATAAGTGTATTCTTTTTAGTAAAACATTCAATGTATCGCCTCGCCACATTACGTTAATTTTCAATTGTAAGTATTCAATCTTGTAAAAAGATACTTTTAATTTGTATTTACAAATAGATGTAGATACAAATACATCAACTTAAAAAGTATTTAAATAGTATTAAAAGTACTTTTTTCAATAAGTATTTAAGAACAAATACAAATACTTAGAAAGTATTTTAACACAAATACTTATTTTAGTACATTTGTTTTAAGTTTTACCTTTGGGTTCAATACTTTTTCTCTGATATTTTAACTTTAAATTTGACCATGAGATCAAACTCATTCAAACTGTACATATTAATTATTATTATATAGTTAATACTTAATAGTTCATATATTATAATGCATGTTCCATATTCTGGTACTAACCAAGGTACCTATAATTGTATGATAAGTTAATAATCACCGAATGATCGTTTTAATTATTTATTGTATGAGAACTAAATAGATATTATAAGAACCTTTATCTCCACAACAACCCTAGCGTCTGGAGAAAATAATTTATATATAAATGCTATATTTCTGTAGGGAAAATATTTGTATTAATGTATATATTACGTATGTATACTATTCAATTATTCAACAGGAAAAAAAATAAAAATAAAAACAAAAATTAATACCAAAAGTCTTTATTGGATTTTAAAATCATAATCTTTTCAAAATTGTCATCATTCATTTTGCCTCTTTTTTTGGACAGCACACCACCTACGCAAAATACGCTCCCGGGCGGACTTTTTTGCCGAATTTTTTCGTTTTCTCCGACAGTTTCGTCTTTTCGCATGCCGTTCGTGGATCTAACATCATGTTGGTTTATGGGCTCGTTTTAGGTTCAGACTTCATAGATCATAGGTAAACGTAAAGTCGTAAACCGAATCAGCTGATCGAGTTTCACTTCATTATTGTTCTATGTTTATAGTTTGGAGTTTCAAATAATTCACATAACAATAAACTAATATAGGCTTCAATGAAAAAAAAAACAATAATATTTTGCACTTTAGGAGGCTATGTCCGGAATAAACTTACAAAATTTCAATGATATTACTCATGACTATATTATTTAGTCATGATATTACTTTGATTTCTGAGAAAAAAGATAATAAATAACCATTTATTATTGAAAAAAAATCGATAAAGTATTTAAATAAAAGTATTTGATTTTCAAATACAAATACGTCCAAAACCGTATTTAAAATACTTTCCAAATACTTTATTCAAAAAGTATTTAAAAAGTATTCTAAATACAATAAAAGTATTTAAATACATTTACTCAAATACTTTTACTCAAATACTTTACAAGACTGTAAGTATTATTTTCTAGTTGTACTGATTATATTTCTTAATACTGTGGAGTCAGTCTAATTTGCTAATTTGTTTACAAATATAGGTAGATTTCCAAAAAATCAATGAAATAAAAGGAAATAATGGCTACAAATGTTCGAATTATCACGATTTCTACCTGGCATAGAATCTGCAGCGGTAATCATTTCTCAATTATTAGTGATTGTAAACAATGCCCAGTAAATTAGTAAATATGGTCAGAGGCTGTCTCAAAACATAATCCAAACCACTTGTCTGGGATAGAGAAGTAAAATAAATGTTAGTACTTTACAGCAACATTGGTACTACTCTGAGCACAACTAGTAAATCGCATCTAAGAGGTAAAATCATTTAACATAATCCATGAATTTGGTACCTATTTATGTATTTTTTTTTTACAACTTGACATTTTCAGAAAATGATGTTTCTCCAACGACGAGTTAGAAGAAAATTAACAGACCAATAAAGGATTTGGAGGCCTTACAGTTTTAGATGATTATTTTAATTCGCCCAGAAAAGCCTTAGATACTCAATAATGTCAAATTCACACACACATGTGTGAGTATGTCACACAAGTATCCAATTTTAAATGTTTGCCAAAACCAAAAGTTACTTCATAGTTTATTGTTTTTAGTTCATACAATGTATTATACTTATTATGGTTTTCAACACTGAAACATATGCAAGTACCACATGCAAGGAACTAGGTAGTGGAGCCAATGTATTGACAATTTTTCAGACGTTGACTTTCTTGGAGATAATTCTACCGACTCAGATGAAACCATACAATATTGGAGCGAATTATGAAACTTAAAGGTGACAATATTGTTGATAGGTTTTTATTCCAAATCTATTTTGCAGTGCTACTTACTAACTACATACCCATCTGTTCACGGGACACATTGTATAATATTATCAAATTGTGTGCGTGGACATATATTTGTCTATGGAAAGGGCTCAGCCCGTTTACTCAAAATAAATTAATAAATGAATATGTTAGGTATGTGTTATAATCTCAAAATATCCATGACTTATTTTAAGAATATAACAAGTGCTTGCCCATAAGGTTCTTTAAAAAAATAATGTTTGCCTTTAAGTTTGATTATAACATTATGTCATATCACTGTAAAGCCCGGTCCAGACCAAGAAACATTTGTAGGAAACATATGTTTCTGACATTGTCGTCGACAAATATTTATGTTACCGCTTATGAGCGGAAATCGGAAACATTGTCGATGACAATGTTGGAAACACTTGTTTCCGACAAAATTTTCTTTGGTGTGGACGGTGCTTAATATATTAAGACTAAAGGTACAAAACTTAATTCTACTGTACTTGCATTATTTTCAACATATTTTTAACAAAGTTTTAATTTTTAGATAATACAATTTTGCTGAACAAGAATCCAATTTTAATAACGCAGAGGGCCACAACATAATATTGAAATTGCAAAGAAACACATAACTAGTTTTGAAATCGGTATCTCTTCGATAGGAAAAGTGCATCTCGATGGATGCGTTAAACAGGTAATAATTGAATGTTTCCAGTTGTTTTCAAATACATCGGGAAAAACAAAAAGATAATTAAGGAAAAATTGATTTTGTTTTATGAGTGTGAGAAAAAAAAAATCCCTAGGTATAGATACATGATTTGTCTGCCGAATGTTCCTATTAGCATTTTCTATACACCATACAATTTTACTCTTTTTCACCTAGTTATGATGATAATACATTTACATTTTTTCGATTTGTTTTGTTTTCAAAATTATTGACAATATAAATTTTATTGCTATGCCAAAGAGTTTGAAAATGTAATACGGGCATCCTATTATAATAGTTTCTATAATATCTGTTCACAAATGTAAGGGATACATAGCCACAATTTTTCATGAGCATTTAAAGTTCACACTTGGACAAAATTCATCTACAACCTGCAATTTATTTTGTAGTTAAAAATGTATTAAATGTTCAATTGTATGTTAAGCTTATGCTCATAGTAAAAATTGATAAAAAATGATCATAGTAATATTAATTATCAAATTGAATAAAAATATGTAAATTATTGGTTTACAGGTAGTCAAGCCTGTTCCCATTTGCAACGAGGAACGACAAACTTCTTTGAAAAAATTGTATGCAATTACCAAAAAGCATCAGTGGCTGTTATTAAAATTCTTCAACTATCAACAATGGACATAACTGATGAACACTTTTAAGTTAGGTGTATTCTGATAGGTACCTATTTCGTTTAATTTGTGTACTTATTTTACCTATGTTTGCCCCCCATCACCCATCAGAAAGTAATTTTAGTTACTTTATTTAACCAAAAGAAAACTATACCTACACACTGTGGACTTATGTTTGTGAATTAAATCATTTTGTCAATGACTAATTTAAGAAAACTTTATTTTTAAATTTTATAGTAATAGAGAAAAGTAGGTTCCTATTTAAAACCATTATAAACTATACCATCATACTTTTCATATTTTTCGTATTCATAGTTTATAATACCTATGTATTTTAAAATTTAGAAATATATAATTAATATAGTAGTTTGTTTTAAATTATTGATATACCTGCAGCAATTATTTGTACATACTAAATAAGAAATTATTACTGAGTACGAACAAAAATAAATCATAATATAATATAAGTTATAAGTATAACTGTAGTTGTAGAAAACAATTAATACATTTTGTTTTTCATGTAATACTGGTTATGCTTTAGATGTCGAACATCAAAAAAAAATTTGATTAAAAAATAAAAGTTTGTAAGAAAACATACTATCTTAACCTTATTTATGAATAATCATTTTTTATTTAATTATTTGTTACAAATAATATTTAGAATACAGAGCTTTTAGCAAGATGGCATAGGAAAGACAGGCATATTTAAATACAGTTGAAAATTCCCACGAAGAATTTTCATTTCAGTATTTAAAAGAAAATCTGAATCTATTAGAAAAACCAGATAATAAATGGATGTTTGGATTAACTGATGATGAAGTAGTGCTTGCAATATGGAATAGTGGGTCTGAAAAAAAAATAATAATTTCAAATGATTTAATAGTAAAAGTAAGCAATTATTTGGTCAAATGTAAAATAAAAAGTCATTATATAATGATGTGAATTTTAAACTTTTTTATAGCAAACACCTTTTGAACTTTGATTATATATTTAGGTATACTTTAACCTGACCAGGTAATAAATAATAAATCATAATTTATATTTCATTCGAATTCAAAAAAATGAAAAAGAACGTACATTTATAGAAAAGTAGGTACGTATAATAAGTGGTAAAACGTAGCACCTCTATCGAACGTGTCGCTCCTGGTGGCAGAATAGCCGTGCGACTTTTGACGGGCCATATTTTGTACACGGAGTTTGGTCTCCTTATCTCTAATCTTCATGATTACAATATTGTTTTGAAAATAAAGTGATAATAAAATCGGTGATAACTGATAACGATGACGTGCCGGCCGTCTTGCACCCATTCGGATTTCCGGACAATTTTAATTATCCATGTTCCATTTTAGTGTAAGCCATCGACATAATAATATTATAATTTAAATACATTTAATAATATGTCTACTTATATCCATATATCTTTAATATCTATGCTTATATCTTATTTTCGTATTTACTCGCATTCGCATGCATCACTCACTCTCTCAACTCTCACTGACTCACTCGCTGACCGCACAAAGAGCAGCGGAAAATGGATAATAATAGAGATGCTACGTCTAAAATTTTATAATATATTTGTAATTATTATGTAATTGTTACAGTACGCCGCGACGCTGCCGAATTCGTATCGCACGCACTCTCAGTTGTGGTCACTAACTCCTCGCTTTATAGGAAAACGCCGAGAACGCCTCATCGCTGCTCCGTTCAGCACTGACACCGCTTCCGCCCACCGCCCAAAAACCAGACAAACAAAGGCGACGACGAGTCATCAACAAAGCCACTCATACAGCGCAGTAATGGAAGACAATAAGGTCGAGGTGCTCTTTGAGAACGGCTCCTATTACGAGGTGATTAGGTTATTCTTAATTCATGAGAATGATAATTAATTTAATTTATATATTTTAGAGCTTTGTTACGGGTGTAATGGAAAATGAAGTTCTAGTTTCTTTCCCTGATGAGTGAGTATCACTTATAATATAATACATTTTATTATAATACATTTTTTAAGCATTCTAATCAAATTACAAGTAGGTAGGTAGGTACATAAACAATATTAAGAACCTATGTTTGTTTTTTATCATGAATAATTTGTACCTATTGCAAAAGTAAGATTACCCTTAAAAAAAATCATGTCTTATTAAGTCCGGTTATATATTAAATTATACAGTTACCTACATCAAAATTATTTCACTTGGCTTTATACCTACAGATCCAAATATCTAATACTTAAAGTTGATTTTGTTTTAAAAATATTAACTACAAATATATGTAATAGTCTACCTATTTTTTATTTCATGCATGATTTTGGTAAGCAATGACTATCTATTATTAATAAAATAGTTTTTATTTTCAATTTATACCTATTAACCCCCTAAAAATCAATATTTGTATAGTTACCTTTAATCTATACATTTTGTATATCACATTTAAATAATATAACTATTTAATATAGTTGGTATTATTGAACAATAGATACCCCTAATTTCTTAATTAGTATTTGGGCTTTTAACCTAAATAATCACCAAAAAAAATGATTAATTCACTTATAAGTTATAGTTAATAGTTTTAAAACATTATTCTTATACCGAGTTGTTCAAATTAATGATCCTCTAAAATTGTATAGACCAATCATTAGTAACTTAATCATAATTAAGGAACCCTAATGGTTCTCACTATTGGAGCGTTTTAACTCCCCCAAATATTGATTACAACGGAAAAATATCACACATCATTGAAAACAAGTTGCTACTCTCAGAATCTAAATTAAGTGTATACACTATAATATATAAGACGGCCAGTTGACAACATTTTTTTGTGCTATAAGGGACATCAGTATTCAAATAATTAATAACTATAATTACCAATACTTACTATATAGTTCCTAAGATTTTTCATATTTGCTTATTTTTAGATTTTTAGATTTTTTGATGGCTTCTGAATGGAAAGGAATTAAGCTAATATTATCTACCTTCGATAAATCTTCACATAATTATTCAGTGAAAATAAAAAAAACTAATAAGCTTTCTAATTAACATTTTAGTTTATATATATATGTTAGCATTTATGTATGAAATTCTGTAATTCTATAGAATTACTAGTTATTTTATAGAATTACGGGTACTTTCATTTAATGTATTGAATGAATCCATAAATATATACTTCAACTAGTTATTCTACATACCAACTAGATATTTTATAAACTAACAATAAGGGTTTAGTTATTTAAAACTATTATTGAATAAAAGTTTTAATCAAATTACAAATTACAAACGAAATCAAATGTTATAGTATTAAGTCAAACAAGCCTTACAATATTATATAAAATATTAATATTAATTTATTTCACATCAATTTATTAGAATAATTATTAAAATCTTAATCAATTTACAAATTAAAAAATCAAATGTTGTAGTATAAGTCAAACACACCTTACATTATTATATAAAATATTAATATTAATTTTTTTTTTCACGTCAATGTATTTGGATATTTTTTTTTTTTAATTTACAATTTATTTATTAGTACAGGAACTTTTTGGGTGGCATTTAGAATTACAAAGTAAATTATTTTTTAAATATAAGCACCGTTTTGTGGTGCACTTTTGTTGGCATGTACATTTAAAAACCCTTTTCCATTACCAATTGATCGGATGCTTTCCGAAGGCAAATATCTACATCTGGAACGTCACTTAGCGTAATAAACTTTTCTGTGCATAAACTAAATTGTGACCTCGCGTAAAGTTGTTTTAGTATACCGTATTTAGTTCCTAAAACAAAATTATTTGAATTATTAATAAATAAATAAAAAAAAATTCTTTTTTTCCTGTTTTAATACGTTTCACTTCACTTATTAAGAAATCATATTTTTCTTTCAGCAAAAACGTGCTGTTATTACGCTCTGTTGTTCTATTTTTTATAATTGTATCAAATTTGGTTTTCATTTTAAAGCACACTTATTAGTTATTACACTATACAACACTAAAAATGATTAAACTAACTAGTAAGTAAACTCGCAGTACACTGTCACACGAATAAGTCTAGTCTATGCCAAATGGTGTGGTTCAATACTAGGTATCTTATTTTATTATTTTTATTAATAACAACAACGGTAACAAATTTTGTATGTTATCTAATCCAGTCCCGGTCATCTACCTAATGATATAAATTTCATACATTAACGAAAACCCAATCGGTATTTTATGTATTAACTAGTAAAACCACGTAATTTATATATTAACGAACATATTTAGGAATTTTAAAGAATAACTAGTTATTTAATAAAATAACTTATTACATACATTACTGCAAACATATATACATATAGATGACTTTTAGAAACTCTTATTATATGTTACTTTCCCGGATTGTCCTTGATTACTTTAAAACATTAAATTAATTAGTACCTACCTTGCTAAATAATAATACGTCCTTAATAATTTTTAGTTGGTATTCTGAAACTAAATTCAACTATGACAATGTTCGATTACCCTTGTCAGATGAACAATGTAGTACAGAGTTTATTTACAATCAAGAAATAGAAGTAAAATCGGTCATAGAACCTCATCCTTGTTATTGGTGGGTAAAAGCAATAATAAAAATGATCAGTGGTAACCCACCATCCCAGTTCGTGGTCCAATATTTGAACACAACAGCTGAAGAAATATTTGTCTCTCCTGATAAAATCAGATGCAGTAACATAAATTCACACATTAATGGCAATACATTTTACATAACTGATATTGATGTACCCGAAGATGTTAGAGAATTGTAAGTATAACAAAAAAAATAAAATAAAATATACAGTCAGTTTACTATTTATTTAATAGTTAAAATTGAACAGCTACAAAAAATATTTTGAAGAATAACCATGGTTAATCTTTTAGTGCTAAAATTGATGGCATCCATAAAGATCTACAGATAGCAATTGGCGCCTCCTTGGTGTTATATAATCCTGATCGATCAATGTTGAGTGTTATATCTCTTTCACCATTGACCAGTAAAATAACATTGATATTAGCCGACTTTAGAAAACTGAACCACAATGTTATGTTGCTTAAGAAGACTGAAGAGTTAGCCAAGCAACTGGAAAGCTCTAAGCTAAATATTACATCATCACCTTATTCTGGTGAATTTAATGTACTTGATGAACTTATGGGTTTGGCTATTGGAACTCGTGGCACTAATATTGAACGAGCTCGCAGGATTGATGGTATTACAAGTATTGAGTTAGATAAACATACCAGAATTTTTAAAATTTATGGAAATGTAAGTCAGTTTTATAGTACTTTTGTAAAAATATCTAATAATCTTGTTTTTAGAGCAAAGACTCTATAAAGAAAGCTCGAAGAATTTTAGAGTATAAGAAAAAATGTCTTCAAGTTCAAAGAGATTTCATTGGAAAATTAATTGGTAAAAATGGTTGTAACATCAAAGATATCATTGCGAAAAGCGGAGTGGTGAGTTATTTTTTATCCTTATATTATTTTTAATATTAGTAATTTGGCAGGCTCAATATTTATTGAGTTTAAAATTTTACTTTTACTTGAACAAAATGCTCTCCTATAAAGGCCTTTGATCCTTGAGACATAGAAAACATTTTGCATTTTTAGAAATTTTACACATAACATTACTTAATCTTGAACAATACTATAATTTAATTTTTACTAGGTATTCATTATTTTTCTTATCATTGGTATTTGTAGGGCGTAATAAAAAAAAAAAAATCATTAAATTATTTTAGGTATACTGTAAGATAATCATCATTAATGGTTTTATTGTCAATTGATAGACTTCTATACTAATAAGTATAGTTGTTTATTCTTATTTTGACATTAAAAAAAATAAACTATGTCTTAGTAAATAGCATTTACATTTTTAGATGATTGGTTATTGTTATTAGCATTTCAAATTTAACAATTATATTTTTTTCTTTTTATTATAGATCAAAATAGAAATTGAAGGTGATAAAGAACTACAGCCTAACATTCCTCGTAAAGAGGGTTATGTTCTTTTTGTGATTGTTGGCACTGTAGAAAGCATATTTACTGCTTAAGTTCTAATAAAACAGATTAAAGTATTTATTTAATCTTTATTCTAAAATATTTCTTTAACTAATTAATTTATTTATATTTAGGAACTTGAACAAAATAGGAAAGAAACACAAATGGAAATGGCGATGCAAAGGCGATACAACCGGTAAAATAGTACTATTTTATTATTTTACATATATTTTATGTGTTGTGAAAATGTTTTTGTTTATATTATTCGGCTGTATATACCCATAAAAAGTTAGATACAGGAGAGGGGATATTTTGGCTTTCAACTAAAGATTGTATTCTCAAAACACACTTACCCTCTTGCTGGACTTAGTGTAGTATTGAAATAGTAATGTTATTTCCTTTCTACACATAATTTATTGGTACTTAAACTAACTTCATTGATTGGCTTAATCCTTAACAATTTTAATAACTGTCAATTTTCAAAAGTTAAATTGCATACAATATAAATATAAGTGACATGAATTGTTTAGGGGTTAACATTTTCATAGTTAAATATATGAACACTTTCAGTTTAACATTAATCAACCCGTCACTGGTTGTGTAATTTTTTCTATTTTGGTTGTGGTGGTTAAAAATTATCTATAATATGAAATATACTTAAAATATTACTTTTAGTTGGTACTTTGTAACTAAAAATAATTATAATTAATATACACAAATAATTATATAATTTAAATTTCATATGTACCCACAGTATTATAAATAAAAATTAAAAAAATAATTGAAACGGTAAGGTAATACAATACTAATATAATGTTAACTTTTCAGTCGCGTTAAATATTCTTCAAACGGATAAATATTGTTCTCAACACGCTTGTACCAAAGAAACAAATAGTTTTTGATGAAGTAAATTTATCGAATTATGATGTGATTTTTATAAGCTAATCAGAATTACAAATCCCTATTACAGATAATTATTGAAAACACATATTTATAAACACTGGGAGATTATTTACCCCGCTTGACCAGTTGCAGGTTAAGTAATATATTCTTTTTCAAATAAGATTGAACCGCTCATGAAGACTGAGCAGCCGAACAGTGCCTGACCCCCCAGGTGATGGGTCGAAAGTCATCGACGGCGACGGTGCTGGCCGCCATGCATACGCTAACTTAAAATAATAGATTCAAAACATTTTTACAATTATATCACAAAATAATCACTGAATCAATTGTATAATTACTGAATTTAGCCGTCTGTTAAATATTTAACTATTACTATTGATTATTTGTTTTTATTTGTACAGTAACCTTAATGCAGACAGTGAAAACATGAAAAATGGCCAAAGTAAGTCTAAGGGAAGAAAAATAACAGGTGTATACGTGGCGAAGATGAGAGTGAATGAAAAAGTTAATTGAAAAAAAAAAATAATAATTTTAAATGCATTTTCGCTTTAAACAGTTTGATAAGTTTTATACAATGTTTTAATTTTTTATACAACTTTAATTTAATTTAAATTCAAAAATATGTAATATAATAATAATATGTTATGTACTTTTATCTGTCAACTGTTTGTATCTTTTGAGTTGGACAAATTTAAAAAAAATACTTAGTACATTCTATTCAATAATGTAAGTAGAGAATTAGTGTTACACTATTTATATGTAAAATATATTTATTTATATATACACCTATCTAAGCATTTTTATACATCTTAATTTAGTACTTAGGTCTTAAGATGACAATTATAGTCAATAACAAAATGATAACAGTATGACATACTCGTGTACCACGGTTTAATTTATACAGGTTGCACAACCTGCTGAGCTCTCCTACTATTTTTATTTACTTGGACGGGGAGACGGTACAAACTAATGTCCAAAATAATTTTTATTAAAATGTGAATTTCAATTTATGTCATTTATATAACAAGTTTTTCTATGTTGAAATTATTTTTCACATTACTTTAATATAATATAGGCAAATATTATAATATATTATTAATTATAATATTATATATTATTATAATTAATTATAATATCACCCTGTGTTTTGAATATATAGTCAGTAGTTTACAGATCATAGATCATATACAATTAGTATATTATGTAAGGTTTATGTAAAAAACAAATTATTAAAAATCGAAAATATCTCAAAGCTATAACTTATAAATATTTTAATTTTCCTGTGAACTTTATTTTTTTTGGTAAAGGTAACACAACTTATTGAATCATCTAATGTAAGCTATGAAAAGAGAACTCTTATTCATTTCTAATTGAAAAATAATTTGAAAATTTTCTTCAACAGTATCTTGTTCGATTGGAAAGTCAATCTAGTTGGTGCATTCGAGAGATCAATAATTATATATAATATCATTAAATTTTATTAATCTAAAATAGAAAAAAAATTCTGCATCTTGTAACAAATGTGGCAATTCCGTGAATATTTGAAATTTTCATCTGATGTTTTAATTTTTGTATTACCATTTTCTATACAACAATACATTTTCAAAATATTTTGACTATTTTTAATTTTTTGGGGAGTAAAAATTGCTGTTATTCATTCTACGTGTTCGAGATTATGGTATAGTGACAGATGGTCACGGATATATTTGAACAATTATTAATAAATTGATATATTATTTATTGGTTCGTCTATTGTAACATACCTATTCTCAGTGTAAAAGACCACCTACTACATTCAAATTAAAGGGTATACAATCGTAAGTTACTTTTAATTTATACGTTTAAGCCGTATTCAATATTGGTCTCATTTTCACTGGAATGTATGAATGTGCATAGTAAAATTATTATTATTCTATAGATTTGTTATTTATTATTAAAACACAATATATTATAATAAACATACTGAGTAATTTTTATTTATATTCGTTACTTTTGAATATAACTTCAGGTATAAAGTGAATATGTTTTATATTTTGTTTCAATATATAAATGTATAAATATAATGTGTTTATATTTATATTAAACTAAATTTTTTTTAATTTTTTTTTTATTATACAACTACTAGTAAAAACTGATAGTTTGACAATTACAATATTAAAATTAAATAATTAAAGTACGATGATCGTATATGATAATATTTAACATACAATAATATAGGTAAGAATAATAATCGACATTCATATAGTCATACCTAAAGAAGCAAATGAAGGCAGAGACAGAAAATTAATTGATATATTATTAGATATAATAATCCCAATGGAAATAATAATTAAGTAATGGGATAAGCAAAAATAGATGGTTGAACTATGGAGTAAAGTGTTTTTGCAGTACATCAGTGAGTAGGAATAATAATGGCCCAATTACAGAATTTAAATTTTAAGTTGGCGATAAATTGAGATAACACTGTTGTGACGATTTCTATTGTAGGATTTTTATTAGCGGCCGCTTCTGCCTATGATCTTGTTTGAGGCTTGGCTTGAATGTCCGAGATCACACCATTGAACATTTTTGAAAATAAACTTCATGAAATTTTAAAAAACCCAAATTGTACATAAACATTAATTTTATTCTTAATTCCTTATTATACATTTTTCTGGCAAAACTATTAGTGGAGAAAAACAAATTTTGGACGAATGACTATGACCTTTTATTTACTTATTGAAACATTGAACTATAAACACTTTCAAGAAATCTATTGTTATAACTTTTCAATGAAACAGTCAGTAGTTTTTGAATCTATTAACTTTGGATAATAACAAACGTAGGTTAAACATAAAATGACCAAATATCAATATTATTATATATAATAAATTACATTATAAGTACCCTGTTTTAAATATCTATATAAAAAAAAAATACTCATTTCTACTAATTTGCAACTATTAGTATAATATAATGTGATGAATGGCAAAACTTTATATACGAAAATCCAATGGAAAATAGACCTTCTAATTATTGAAGAACCACTATTTTTAACTGAACCCAGCTCCACTGTATGTAAGCTATAACAACAGATTGCTCATCATACTGTTCATAATATAGTATAAGTAGTTTACTATAATATAGTAGTCATTTTTCTATATAATCTAACAAACCTTATACATTATTTTTTGTTTGCAGGAATTATACCATTTCAGTTGGAAATAAATTGAATTAAAATAAGAAAAATAACTAGGAATATATTATTGATGTCAGAAATTTAGAAAATAAAGATAATAATTTGCGCTTATGGGTAATAATAATTAGAATACAAAATAAAAGATAGAGTATGAATCGTTATCAAAAAAAAAATTGATCACATAAATAAAAATGTAATATTTTATATTTAAAGTAAAAAAAAAAAATAAAATATAAATATGTGTATAAATTATATTAGCGACAAGTCAAATCTTATCTACTCATTTGATATGCCAATCTTAACTAAATATATAAGTAATAAAGTAGTTTTAATAGTAGTGTAGTTATAACCAGTACTCGGAACTTATAGCATTTAAAAAAAATTAAAATAAGAGCTTATATAATTTATTTTTACATCCATTGGAATTGGCAAAGCAGAGGGTAATAAGCGTTTTTCTGTTTGTAGTGTACCATCTATCAACAATGTTGAACGTGTAAAATCTTTAGGTCCGAAGTGTCTTTCACACACCATAACTGCATAACACGCCTAATAATGGACTCCAATCATTTAAACGTTCCTACAAAATAAGAAAAAAACTTCAATGGACGGACATCAACAATTATTTTAAAACAATATTTATGAATGTTTATAATAATTACTATTGAAAGCTTGAACAAGTCGATATCTTCAACCTCCTCCACATTAGTATTTGTAATACATGCTGGTAAAGCACATTTAATATAAAAATCCTAAATTAATAAAATAAAATTAATTTAATTTATGTATGTATCAATAAAATGAAATACTAAAATAACCAATCTTTAATCTAAAAGAACTAAGACTAATGAGTACATTGAGTCAACAGTATATGATTATACTTTCAACACTGAATTACTACAAAAAAGAGTTTCAATTTTTTTTTTATAAATAGGTACTGAAAAAAAATTCAAAGATTGGTCAAAATACTTGAAACTTAATACATGTTCCTCATAAGTTGTTCTTTACACAGGCAATTTTTTTTTAATTTCATAGTTATTTGAAGTTTGAAAAAATTTTTCATACTGAAACAAATAAAAATAATGGGAAGTTCTCTGCTGTGAATGTTGAGTGTATCTCTTGATTAAGTAAGTAACTGTAAGTATGAGTTAAATTTAAATTCAATGATATAACATTGCAGACGGCAAGTGATTCTGAGTGGAGATAGTCACTTATATTAATAAGTCATTTAATTTTAATATTAGTAAAATGGCAGGCAAAAGTTATAAAAAATAATTTAAATAATAATTTAAATATTATGTTATTGTGTTATTAAATACAATTATATCTCAGACAATTTCTATCTTCGGAATAATATTTTTGAATTCCAACAAGATACCTTACATTGGTACAATTTTGTCAATGTTTAAGTTTCAAATAACTATAAGTAAAATATTGTTTATTCATTAATAGATTTTTGGGATTTAATAAGAACTTCTTATGAGGAACCTTGTACTAAATATTCGGGCATTTGCTATAAAAATTGAATAACTAGAAGATTTATTTGTATTAAAGTAAGTAAATAATTTAACAAAATGTGCACATAACAGTTGCCAACCAAAAATCAAACATGCAAACATTATATTATAATATATTTTTATGTTAGTTTAGTTGTGTAAAATATTTGAAAATAATTATTCTATTTTTCCATTTTATGAAATTATATTTAGTTACTAACATTTATCTATTAATAGATAAGCTGATATTTTCATTTGTAAGGCATAACTGCCACATATTTAATCAAAAAATAAAATAATAGAAAACATTTACCATAGGATTTGATATAAAATAAATGTTATTTTTTGAGCACATGTAATAATTAGTCATATTTTAATAGTAAACAAAATTTATATTTCAAAAGGCCGAATAAATTTAATTTTTTCTTTATAGAACTTAATAACAATTTGAGGCAATTTTAAATTAGCCTCTTCACTAAAAAATATTCTACCTTATTATCTCGTACACGTCTGTTTAAAATGATTTCTACAGAATGTTCCTCTTCTGCAGTTGTACCACTAGGTTTTATGTTTGCAACACGTTTTCTCTTTCTGGAACAAAAATATATTAATATGTTAATAAAAAATTTATCAAAAGATGTATAATTTATTTTGAATAACTTGGCAAAAATGATGACACCAAAAAAAATCATGTACATTGTTACCCATAGGTCATTACTTTGAATTTGTCAGCAAATAAGCATTATTTCAAATAAACACTGAAATTATAGGTACATAAATATTTTTATTTTCAATTTAAGAGGATGCTACACAGGCATTTGTTATCTCCGACCTACAAGCTT